ACATTAGCATGAAATAACTATGCTAATGAAAAGTGGATCTAACTCAAAGAGCCTTTGTGGAAAAGCTTTTAAAATCTTAATTCTGCAGTGTTGCGCAATAAATGCCCCTTAGTGCTGCTTAAGTGTGTGTGTGTGTGTGTGTGTGTGTGTGTGCGTGCGCGTGAGTGTGCAAGCTGTCATAGCACAGAAAAAGTGCTCAGGAAGAACACAGCTTCTAAGGAGACAGATCCTGTGACCCTGCTGCCCCATGCCACCTGCTCTCCTCCCAGGATCCTCGTTCTCTCACTACCCACTGCTCGCCAGGAGACACTGTTAATTGGCCTACACACACGCCCCCACGCACACACACACACAAACCTCCGGGTATCAGCTCAACTGACACCACAGTGTGGCAAAACCTCCAGGTGGGCGAACTTGCAGAGTCATCAAGAGTTTGCAGCAAATCCAACCTTCTGACAACTCACTTTGAAGGCTCGTTTCGTCTTTACTCACAAGTGTGCATTCAACGGACGGTCAATTTGTAATTTTCTTGTCTTAAGAGACAGACATTTCATTAGACTGCGTGTTTGCTTCGCAACTTATAAACAACGAGACACTGAGCGCTGAGGTCTTTAGAGTTATTGGATCACGCTGCCCATTCAAAATAACGATCTACAGCTTTACGTATGGACGGCAGACAAGTACGGCTCAATAAACCAGGCTGTGGTAAGACTAATATAGTCTTGTGACCTAAGAAGCTACAAATCCTCCACCATTCCTTTAATCGCAATGATTTAGCGGTTGTCTACTGCCAGCGCTGGCGCTGGTGAAAACACCCCCAGGGCAAGACGTACAGCACAGGGCAAGTAAAACATCTGCATAATTGAGCCCTTCAATCAAGTCAAGTGTGTGTTAGGTCCACTCATACACAGCTGATTACAAACAAATGGAGCTAGGTATTTATATTAGTCTGAAATAGAGAGAGACATCGAACTTACTCAAAGTCATATCACACAGCAAACAGAAAAGTTCACCTGGGCCATACAAATATACAGGTTGACTATGAATCTTCTGCATGTGTATGGTAGATATCAGGCTTACAAAACATGTCAGATAAAAATTTAGATTTTCAGATACTTTTTCAGATTTTACAGATACTGATTCATAAAAGCCCAAAATCAGTCTTTTACTCTATGCCTGTACTCAGTTTATACACGATAATAACAAATGACTCTTATGTTATTCAGTTATTTTTAGTGACTCAAAACTAGGGATGCACCGATACCGATACTGGTATCGGTATCGGGCCCAATACTGGTCTCCTGTACTCGTACTCGTACTCGTTAAAATGCCCCGATACCAAACGCCGATACCACACAGCATGTGATAAGCGCCATATTCAAACAAAGAAACACCGACAACAGAACAGACAGCAGAAAGGAGTTAAGGATGTCTACTACGAAGTATATGTATGCAATGAATATAATGTTAAACATTCAGTATTAACGCCTGTATAGCTGATGTGAGCGAGCTGATAATGTTGAAGGTGTCTGAATATATTTTGGTTTGACTGTATCTATTTGATAAATGAAGTTAACCAACTAACATTATACATACCCTTTTGGTTTCTGTACCCAATATTTAAAAAATTTACAAATGCAATAAAAATATCGGTATCGGTACTCGGTATCGGCAAGTACCAAAAATAAAAGTATCGGTATCGGGCGAGTACTGGAAAAAGTGGTATCGGTGCATCCCTACTCAAAACCATACAACATGAACAATGTAGCTTGATTCCCAAAACAAATTACTCTTATGAGTCGGTTCTTTTCATTTAAAAAGATGTTATCGGTTTGAATCAGTCTGAAATAGGCCCTACTGCCCTGTATAAATTACAGCATTAGTAGAAAGAGATGTTATTTCTATATTGAAGAATATGTTAGCTAAATGGGCAAAAATATACCTAAATGAATCAAATCAAATTGAATTAAAATGGGAATCAAATAAAAAATCAAAAGCTTATGTATAAGAATTAGAGATGCATCGATCGATCGGCCAGGGATCGGAATCGGCCGATTTTCCTCATGATCTCACTTCTTTCCGATTCCGAGCCGATCCGTTTTGTTTCCGGTTAAATGCTTGTATTGCGCATTATTTTAGTCATTCCCGCAAGTTTCGCGCTTACACCAAAAGCGTGCGCACCAGAAATGATCATCCCAAAATGATAAAATAATAAACGTGTGAGAGCGTGTTATAGGCTATATGACATTAGTCAGACTGCGCTAATGCAACACGCATCGCTGGGGACGAGTAGCTGAGTATCTCTTCAGCAAGCCAACGTGCAAACTGCCGCGAATGAAACTGAAAGTAAGACGCAGACAGCCAACACACAATCATCTTCATTAAAAGCAATAAGACAAACTTATCTTTCCAGTGCTGATGCCGCGCGCTCTCCTATTGCGGTCTTTGATCTTGAAATGAGCTGATGATTAATAAAATGCAGCGCTTATCTTTTGATTTCGTTGACGTGAACTCCGTTAAATTTAAATATAGCGCGGGAATTGAAGATCGGAGCTCTCCTATTGCGGTCTTTGATCTTGAAATTATCTTTGATCTTGATTTCGTTGACGTGAACTCCATTAAAATTAAATATAGCGCGGGAATTGAAGATCGGATTTATATCCGTTTTGCGACGACACATTTATGTGGCCAAGTGTAAATGGAAACATTTTAACAAATCAGACAGATATCCAATAAGCGAAAACGCATGAAATGACCAGGTGTAAACAGGCCCTATATTGGGTCCGTGGATAAACTCTTAAAGGGACCGCAGTCCAGTATTCCTACTGCTGTCTGTCATGTTAATCAAAGAACAATAGACAAAGAAAATCACTTTCTGCTCTTGACTGAATAGGTTTTATAACTTTAATGGTAAGCATTAATCTGTAT